GGCTACAGAGTGAGTTCCAGGAAAGGCACAAAGCTACATAGAGAAACCCTGTCTCAAAAAACAAAACAAAACAAAAAGATAAAAACCTTTTGGGGTTGGGGATTTAGCTCAGTGGTAGAGCGCTTGCCTAGCAAGTGCAAGGCCCTGGGTTCGGTCCTCAGCTCCGGGGGGAAAAAAAAAAAGATTTGTGCTACACATTCATCAGATCTCAGCTCCCTCATCACCTCCTCCGAGGAGCCTTCTTCCTGTGTTCAGTGACTAGGCCTCCACACTTTGCCTCTGGGTGCCTCCCTCTTATTAGCATCTACCACCACCGTAGATTTATATCTGCTCAGGTGGCATGGAATCAGATGTCACAGATGGCTCATGGCACATGCTTAGTCCACATTCCTGCATTGAGTGAGGGAGAACTGAGTGGATGTGTCTCTCTCTTTTGGCTGTAAAGAGAGCAGAGGCTTTGGAACCGACTGTAGATGGATAAGGATAACCGCAATGGAACTCCATTTCTCATGCTCTCAGTTCTAAGCACAGTAATAGAGCAGACACCAACCTCTAGAAAGGTCCCACTCCAAGAGACCTTCACTCTGACAATGGAGGCAGGAAGAAACTCAAGAAGTCTCCACTCGGGTACCCAGGGAAGATGTGGGCAAGGAGTCCAACTGTGAGAACCAGCAGCCAGGCAGGCAGCAGCTGGAGCCCAGAAAAGACACTCATGAGGCTACCAACTTTCAAAGCAATCAGCCAGGAACCTCGGTGGTCAAGAACAGGAAAACAGAAAGAGGCCTGGACGCTCGCCCTTGCTGAACCACTGTCAAATCCATGAAGCATAAAGTAGGTCACTGGCTCCCCGGCGGGGAGGAGCTGTGTATTTTTATAACTGGGTTTGAACACTGTCAGGTGATAAGCTCATAACACTTCTGTCCCCTAGGGTGTGGCCTCAATTTATGAACCTTATTTTTAACGGAAGGAAAGAAGTTCTGGATCGAATGGCACTGATGTACAAAGATCCCCTGAGCCTCAGACTGTGGTACTAGAAAATCAGACAGATCATCAAGGTGGGTGGCCTGCACGGCAGGTACCCAGCCACGCTCAAGCCTGAGGTCAATCTCTGGGACCCATGTGGTAGAAGGAGAGGACCAATCCCCACAAGTTATCATCTAGTTTCCTCACAAACACACATATTAAATACATAAATATCATACACACACAAAAAAATAGAAATCTGGGGTGATAGCTCAGTCAGTAAAATGCTTGCCTTGTAGGCTTGGATACCTGACTTTGATTCCCCAGAACCCATGTTTTTGAAAGCCAGTCTTGGTAGATTGTGCTTAGAATCCTACACTGGGTATTTCCAGGACTTTCTGAACAGCCAGCATAGCTTATTTGGTGAATTCCAGACTAATAAGTGACCCTGAGCAGGTGAATGACACCTGAGGATGATGCAGAGGATTTTCTCTGGCTTCCACACACACAGCATTTAAAAAACAAAAAAAATCTGAGGAAAACCGATTTCTTCATGGTCTGCCTTGCGATCACTCAGTGGACCTGGAGAGCAGTCACAAGTACATGCTGTCCAAGGGCTCCTGATTGAAGATACCGGTAGGGGCAGCCATTCCTCAGCACCCATGGGGGACAGAATCCAGGACACCTCCACAGATACCAAAATCCTCAGACACTCAGGTCCCTTCTACAGAATGGCATAGTGTTTGTACATAGCCTCTGCTCATCCTCTGGGTACTTGAAATCAGTCTGATGACTTACAATGCCTAACACAATGTAAATGCTGTGCACAGAGCTGTCACACCGCGCTGCGTGGGGATTACTGACAAGACAGGCGCTGCCACAAGTTCAGTACAGGTGCATTTCTCCCCCAGGAATTTCCAAGCTGTGGTTGATTAAAGCCACGGATGCAGAACCCACAGATTAATAAGGGGAAGAAGGGCTGGGGATGTAGCTCACCGGGTAGAGTGCTTGCCTAGCATGCATGAAGGTCCTGGCATGGTGGCCCATACCTATAACCCCAACACTTGGGAAGTAGAGAAAGGATGATCAGAAGTTCAAGTCCACCCTCAGCTACCTGTGAGTTTGAGGCCAGCCTGAGCTATATGGTACCCTGTCTCAAAATAATAAAGGAAAAGATTAAAAAGCAGACTGTATACATTATGTTCACTTTGTCTCTGTCAGGAACAACAAGAGGTGAGTCAAGAAGCTAGGAAGAGTGGAGAGCCAGACATATGGGAAGTGACATGTCCCTTAACACGACAGCATATGCAAAGTTAAACAAGCTGGCAGGGGAGTGTGGTGGTCTGAATAAAAATGGCCCCCATGGCTCATATGGAGTGGCACTATTAGGAGTGTGGCCTTGTTGGAGTGTGTGTGGCCTTGTTGGAGGAAGTGTGTCACTAAGGGGTGGGCTTTAAGGTTTCGGAAGCTCAAGCCAGGACCAGTGGCTTATTCTCTCTTCCTGCTGCCTGCCAATCTGGATGTAGAACTCTCAGTTCCTCTCCAGCACCATGTCTGCCTGTGTGATGCCATGCTTCCCACCATGATGATAATGAACTAAACCTATAAACTGTAAGCCAGCTCCAATTAAATGTTTTCCTTTATAAGACTTGCCATGGTCATGGTGTCTCTGCACAGCAACAGAAACCCTAAGACAAGGTGGGCAGAACAGGAGTGGTCAAGACCACAGGTTTTCAGAAGAGGACCTCAGCCAGACTCTTGCTTCACCTCTTCCTAACTCCGTGATGCCACATAAGCTCCCCAGCCTCTTTGAGCCTCCATCTCCCCCTGTATAAAATGGAGGTAGCCATGTTCCTGCCTCCTGGGGAGGCTGAGAAATCAAGTGGGGTCATTCACATTGAGGATGTAGCCCAGTGTCTGGTGGTGGTGACCACGGAGTGGTCAGAGAATCCTTCAAGGTACCACAGTCCAATAGGCAGGCGGTCCCTGAAATAACAATATGGGAGCAGAGGTGAGTCTGGGGACGTTTATGAGAGGCTGTGACAAAGGGTTTGAGCTGAAGGAAGCAGCATGGGGGTGGGTAGGTATCCAGGAGGAAGCGACATTTCCTCATGGAGAGTGGCTCTTGAAGGAGGGACAGGGTGGTGATGCCAGAGGTGGCAGGAAGGAGAAGGATGAGAGAGCGTTTGAGGAAGGAGCTCATCCTCGGCACATATGAAACGGCCAGGGATGGCAACAGGCTCATTCAAACCCCAGGACACACCGTAATCCCAGCAGGTGGAGGTGGGGGGAAATCCAGATTTCAAGGTCATCCTTGGCAAGGCCAGCTTGGGTCACACGAGACCCTTTCTCAAAATAAATAAACCTCTGCCTTTTGGCTCCTACACTCTGGTGGGACCGACAACAGTAAACAAGATTAAGGAGCAAGACATAGTGTTTTAAAATGAAAAAGAAAGAAAAGGACTGGCAAGATGGCTCAGCAGGGAGAGGTGCTTGCCGCCAACCCTGACGACCAGAGTTCAATCCCTGGGTCCCATATTATGAAAGATGAAAACCAACTCTAGCAAGTTGGCCTCTGACCTACACACATACACACACACACACACACACACACACACACACACACACACACACACACACAATAAATAAATAAATGAATAATATTTTTTAAGGAAAAGAAAGAAAATGGTAGGTGGCTACATCTGAGTAAAGCTGTAGTCAAATCAATTTGGAGTAAGGTGAAGAATGGACAGGAAATTAGGGTAGGCTGGGGCCTGGACTACTGTGGAATAAGGCCGTGGTTAAAGTAGGCAGCCCTATGCCCCATTAGCTGAGCCCCACAGCTCCCCAGCAGTCCCCCCAGATTCACACTTACATTCCCCATTTGAGCTGTAGAGTTCATTCCAGCCGGCCTAGAATTGGTCTGGGCTGTGTTATTGGTCTAATAGGTGGATCTGCACACCGCTGGGGTCTGGTCACAGCAGGAAGCTTCGTGGTAAATAGTATTGCTTTGCAATCACAGGTCTGAGGCATTTCTGGCAGTCTGTACCAGCTCAAAAGCATCATTTATTGATAACAGTGAGATGGATGATTGGCATCTGGCCTCAGAGAGGCCTTCAAAAGGCAGTACCATCAGGCTGGTGCTATGGTAAGAATCTACCACTGACCAGCACAATCTAGGTAGCCCTTGCCAAGACTCCCAGTCAGAACTCCTATCCGAGAATCCCACATGCATGCCACTGACCCAGGAGAGAAAGAACAGGTGAATGGCCTTTCCCACAGGAGACACCTCTCAATCCAGAGCAGTCTTTCCAGACCATGCTGCAGTGACAGCTCCTTTGTGGAATGCTGCTGCTGCATCACAGCCTGTCTCACACAAAATCCATAGATTTGTAAGCATCAGTGCCATGGGGTTTGTGTGTCTTCAGCCACCAAGTCCTGTCCAACAGCTGTGATGGGTGGGCACTCGGCCCTCTTCCTACCTCCGGATCACAATCAGAGTTTCTCTGCTACTTTAAATCACACGTTTGGATTAGGGCACACAACACCCACTCTGTTTGTGTGTGCGTGTGTGTGTGTGTGTGTGTGTGTGTGTGTGGTGTGTGTGCTGGGGAATCAAACCCAGGGCCACATGACAACCACTCGTGTGCATGTGCCTGTGTGTGTGTGTGTGTGTGTGTGTGTGTGTGTGAGAGAGAGAGAGAGAGAGAGAGAGAGAGACCTCATGCATGCTAGGCAAACATTCTACCACTGAGCTTCACCACCAGCTCCCATTGCAGTCACTTTCAATTTTGCCTCTCACTCTGGACTCCAGAATCAGGCACTGCTGACCAGACAGGGCTAGCAAAACTCCCAAGAGTTTCCAACCTGTAGGGGGAATTAAAAGTTCTCTGAATTAAAACCTGTGGCCATGGAAACTGAAATTTAAAAATCTGACTTTTCTAAGCAAATTGAAGCTTATGCAATTAAGCAAATGAGTGACTAATGAAATGATTATAAAGCACTTTGCAGAAAGCCTATGTAAATGAAGGCAGAAGATAACGAGACACAGCGATGGTCTCCCTGCTGCCACTTGTGATTGGGAGGGTGCTTCTCTAAGTCCTCCTGCAGGGACACCGGGCATCAGTATTCAAAGACATGTCAGTGTCTCCACAGCTCCAACACCGAACCCTTCGGGAGAAACTGGAGGTCTTAACCGCAGGGTTTGAGATGTGCCTGTCAACCTAGATGCCCGTTTCATCTCATTGGGCAGGCAATCGGCCTGGCTTCACACAGACAACCGGGAGAAGTTCTGCAGAGCGCAGAGCAGCAGGCAAGGGTACCTTGAAGACCCTCTTCCCCAGCAAAGCTACCTGCAGCCAGATGCACTTAAAACATCTGATGCTTGAGAACACCCGCACATGCCCCAGGCAGTTGGGAACAAGGACTCTGCTACCCTTCTACCCATCACAAAGACAGCCAAGACCCCTAAGATGGCAAAGCAGACATCACTGTGAGCTGCTGGGTGGAGACAGTAAGTGGGGTAGAGCTGTCCTCCGTCAGCTTTAACCAAAGAAAGCCTCTCATGGAGGCAGGACATTCAGGTTACAGAGACGGCACCAGTTGAATGCCTCGGAGGGACAGGTGTGCTAAGAGCAGAAGGCTTCGTGAGAGCAGGTAAGCATAGCCCTCCCTTCACTGCTTATTTCAAAGTGTGACGTTCCCACAGCTCCAGTCAATATGCCTCCAGCACCTGCCCCCATCTCCCTTCCCCACATTTCCAACCTGGAAATCCAGGTCTACCAGGGAACTTGCTCTCTAGCTCCTCACTGGCCAGGACCACAGCCCATCCATCAGCTCAAAAGAAACTCCTAGAACTACCTCCACCTTATTTCCTTATTGCTTGGGGGTACCTCGGAGCAAACAGTCATTTCCTAGACGGATGCTCCACCAAGCATCCCTCCCCTGTCTTCCACCATTAAATTCTCCCACTGCACTCAGCCACAGATGGGACCTCTAGATCCCGTTCCCTCCCTAAGGCTCGGGTGCCACTGCAGAAGAGGGGACAGAAAGATTCTAAGAGCCAGAGGTCAGAAAGGACCAGACTGAAATCATGTCTTCTGGACATGACCGGACCACTCAGCACCTGTGGTGTGGTTGCTTACACAAAATCTGCGCATGATCAAGCCACTGAGTGTTCGAGCATGGAAGGGGAAGGTACTCAGGAGTTCCCACCCCCAACTGAAGAGCTATGAACAGTTTATGGCTTCTAGGGGAGGGAGACTTGGTTTTCTTTAAAGGTCTGGGTCCTCCTCATAGGGTGACCATGTTCCAGTGGATGGTGCAACACCCAGGACATAGACACAACAAACTAGAGTCAGTGGGCTATTTTTTACAGATATATATATATTTATAAAAATATTAAATATATATTTGCATATATATATATATATGTTTTTTAAAAAGAGGACATGAGTTAGGGGTAGGGAGGTGGGGGTGGACCTGGGAGGAGTTAAAGAGACCAGTTGGGGTGAAGCTGATGAAAATACAATATATGAAATTCCCAGAGAATAAAAATATTTTAAATATTTTTTTCCACTGTAGCCACAACTTATCAACAAGTAAGATGTAATGTACTGGGGCGGAGGTGGGGGCACTTGGGATACGGCTCAGTGCATGAGAGCGTTTGCAGCAAGCTCCTTAGCCCACTAAGCCATCTCATCAGCTCCGCTCTGGGGAGCTTTAGACCTCAGGCTGGCACTACAAAGAGAAGCCCTAGCAAACCCCATGCCAGACCTGGGCAAAGTCCTGCCATCTGACCTCCATGCTGTCCTGACCATGCTGGAGCAAGCGTTAATATACTCAACTGATAGACAAGGAAACCAGCTAACGGAGATTAACATGACCAAGCCTTGGTTCTGAGCTGGTCTTAGACACTCCAGTCTTGAATGGACTTTGGACAAGGTAAGCTTGAGACTTTTCTGGAGCTTTGTGGTGGCTAATGCCTGGGCCAGCCCCAGATTCCTTCCCTAAGCCCCACACAACCCAGTTCTGCCTGACCTCCCCAGCCCACCAGGAGCCCAAGCTTGTGAGCACTGCACCACAAGGCCTTCCTCTAGGCTTCAGTAGTCTAGATAGGAGTTCATTAAATTTGATACGGTTTTATCTGGTTAATAAATCAATAGTGTTTGGGGCTAGGATGTAGCTCAGTTGGTAGAGTTCCTGCCTAACATGTACAAAGCCCTGGGTTCCCATCCCACCACCATATAAAGCAGGTATGGTGGCACATGCCTATAATCTCAGAATTGAGGAAGTAAAGTCATTCTTGGATACATCAAGGCCAGCCTGAGCTGCACGAGCCCCTACCTCAAAAAAATAAATAATGTAGATGACAATAACTGCCAGGCAACATTTAGTAATTGCTTTTTATATGCCAGCTACTAAGGAAAAAATGATTCATAAGGCAAAGAATTATCTATTCTAGGGAAGGATTTATTGGACATTGAATAAAACATTTTAAAAATATTTTATTATATTTATTGTGTGTGCACATATCTGTACATATGCATGCACATACATGTACATGCTAGGGCACAAGTGTGGAAATCAGAGGACAACTTGTGAGAATCAGTTCTCCCTTCCTGCCATGTGAGACCCTGGTTTCAAACTCAGGTCCTCAGGCTTAGGGCAATCGTTACTCGTTGAACCATCTCACAGGCCAGAGCACAACTTCTTTAATGTGTTTAAACAGACCTGACACCATTTTTGGTATGATATCAGTGAGAAACTGTGTTTGTTCCTGGGCTCCTCCAACAGGGAAGAGGCTGGATTCAATCAGGTACTTGAAGGCTGGACCCAGTGCCCGGGTCCTTAGCTTCTGCCCTTGGAGAGGGGTCCAGGAGCTTTTGCTTGCTGTCAGGAGCTGAGCACAGGGCCCAGAACACGCTCAGCCTGCCCCAGCCCAGTGCCCTTGAGCGGCCCCTCCTCTCCTCATGCTCTGCTGGAGGTAACCCTGGTGTACCCAACTAACCATGGAAAGCACTTAAGAGATGTAAGTGCCCATGATTGGGGCCCATAAATTACCAGGGCTGAGCCCTGCATGTTATGATGAGTCAACTGTGCTGGTTGTCCATAATGAGCAATTATCTCCTCAGCCCTGCAGCCAACCACCGCCATCCCCTAGAGTGCAGAAGCCACTGACCCAGGTCACCGGGCTCCTTGGAAGGTCATGGATGACAACCAAGGGCAGCAATGGGTCCCTGATCAGACGCTGACTGAAAAGACTATAGGACATGTTTAGGGATGTTGGACAGGGAATTAGACAGTGTCAGGAAACTGTTATGTACAATCTTGGCACTGTGATTGTATATGAGTATTATCTTATTTTCACAGGTGCCTACTGAAATAGGGATAAAGTAGTGGGATGTCCACAATGTGTTTTTTAATTTACTAGTGTATAGGTATTTATTGTGTAGATGGGGGCTGTATACCACATCACATATGTAGAGGTCAGAGGTCAGCTAAGGAAAGTTCTCTCCATCCACCCAGGGATTCGAACTCGGGTTGTCCACCTTGTCAGCTGGCACTTTACCCGCTGAGCCGTCTCACCAGCCCCCTGCAATGTTGAAATATTTTGGGCAATTCCAGGCAGTGGTGGCACATGCCTTAAATCCCAGTACTCGGGAGGCAGAGGCAGACAGATCCCTGAGTTCAAAGCCAGCTTGACCTGCAGAGCAAATTCCAGGACAGCTAGGGCTACACAGAGAAACCCCATCTTGAAAACCCAAAAAAATAATAAGTAAAAAATTAAAAATGCCTTGACTTAAGACTTATTCTTTTTTTTTTTTTTTTTTTTTTTTGGTTTTTCGAGACAGGGTTTCTCTGTGTAGCTTTGCGCCTTTCCTGGGACTCACTTGGTAGCCCAGGCTGGCCTCGAACTCACAGAGATCCGCCTGGCTCTGCCTCCCGAGTGCTGGGATTAAAGGCGTGCGCCACCACCGCCCGGCTTTTTTTTTTTTTAAAGATTTATTATGTATACAGCATTCTGTCTGCATATACACCTGCAGGCCAGAAGAGGGCACCAGATCTCATTACAGATGGTTGTGAGGCACCATGTGGGTGCTGGGAATTGAACTCAGGACCTCTGGAAGAGCAGTCAGTGCTCTTAACCTCTGAGCCATCTCTCTAGCCCTTCTTATTCTTATTATATAAAAAAACTTTATGAAACTGTTTCAATGTTGAAACACGGAGTTTGGAGTGAGGGAAATCTGTCTTATGTCAGGGTTTCATGTGTGGCATGGGACAGTCAAAGGAGGAGTGTCACTCCAGAATGTGACAGCAGGAAGGAACAGTTTCTCTGAACTGAACCTCGAACCTCCATTCAGAAACGTATTTATTGAGTGTACACAAAGGTTGTGTTTGGGGTACAACAAGTCCCTCATACCAAAGCTGAACCTTGAACCTCCGTTCAGAAGCATATTGAGAGTACACAAAGGTTGTGTTTGGGGTACAACAAGTCCCTCATACCAAAGCTGAACTTTGAACCTCCGTTCAGAAGCATATTGAGTGTACACAAAGGTTGTGTTTGGGGTACAAAAAGTCCCTCATACCAAAGCTGAACCTTGAACCTCCGTTCAGAAGCATATTGAGAGTACACAAAGGTTGTGTTTGGGGTACAACAAGTCCCTCACACCAAAGCTGGACCTCGAACCTCCCTTCAGAAGCATATTGAGTGTACACAAAGGTTGTGTTTGGGGTACAAGTCCCCCACACCAAAGCCCCTTTGATCTGTTCTCTGTGTTCTCTGAAGGAAATCATCACAGCCCGCAGCCTTAGTCCTTATTGTGTGATGTTTTCAGTACCAATAATTCAAGATGCTCCAAGTGTGCCTGGATAGATAGGCTTGTGACCAAAGTCAGCAATGGATGGAAAACTTCCTCAGAAAAATAACTCTATAAATCATAGAAAACAGTCACTGTTCTCTACTATGGTTTCTTCAAGATCTAGGTACCTTCAACAAATACTAATACATTCTACTGTTACCCTAGATATAGTGAGAAACAACTGCTACATTCTAATGTTGACCCTAGATACAGTGAGAAGCAATTGTTACATTCTAATGTTGACCTTAGATACAATGACTCTACTAGATTTCCACTAAAGTCTTACCAGGCCCTGGTCACTCATATTTGGCTCCAGAATAAACTGTATCTTGTCTCCTTTGACATGAGAATTGTGTCTTTGCACTGACATTAGGAAACACGCATTCAGCCAGGCACCACGGAGCACACATGCAATTCAAGTACTTAGGAAGCTGAGGCCAAAGGATCGGGAGTTTGAGACCATCTTGGCTACGTAAAAATCTGGTGGGTGGTGGTGGCACATGCCTTTAACTTGGGAGGCAGAGGCAGGTGGATCTCTGTGAGTTCGGGGCCAGCCTAGTCTACAGAGTGAATTCCAGGACAGCCAGGACTGTTTCACGGAAAAAAACCCTGTCTCAAAAAAGAATCTAGAATCTGGACCAGGCATGGTGGTGCACACCTTTAATCTGAGCACTCAGGAGGCAAAGGCAGGCAGATCTCTGTGAGTTCCAGAACTACATAGAGCTACACAGAGAAACCCTGTCTCAAAAGAAAAAAAAAATCTAGACTGTGTTTCAAAAGAAAGGTGGCAGGGTG